CAGATGGGAAGAGACCAATAGTTGTATCTTAGATGACCACTCGTAAGCTTTAAGACCCCAGATGCTACTCACCAAACTAGGCTGTAGGACATTATCTTTATGAACTATGTTATGCCAATTGACCTAGATGTCCCCCAAGACTATGATTCTTAGCTTTCAAGACCAGTAACTTAGTTACATGAGGTGTTTGGATATGTCTAAGAAGTTTCCATTAACTATGTCCCCTATGAGCTCTATTATATATATGAATATACAAGCAGTATATACAAATATGTATATATAAATGCCCACAACTATACCTATATATGCACACGCATGTACTCCCACACCTATATAACATACATATCTACCTGTGCAACCACTCACAAATTTTTGGTTGATATTACTGCTGTTGCAGAACTATATATGTTACAACATTGACCATACCAAAAAAAACCTATAAAAAAACCAAAACTAAAACCATAGTTGTCCTTTATTTCAGTGTACCTCTCAGTGTCTTCATTTACCTTGGTCACGTTGTGCTGACTTCTTCCATAATGTGTATTGCCTTTCCCTTCACCAGAATTAAGATGTGTCTGCTATCTAGTAAGTGATTCTCCCTCCCTACCCCTTCTATCCCTGGTAACCATCAAAGAATGTTAAGAATGTTGCTTTCTATGTGTAAACCTATTCTTGCCTTTTTATAGAGGCTGTATCATTTTGCATTCCCACCAGCAATGTATTAAGATTCCTGTTGTGCCACATCCTTACTAACACTTGGTATTGTCAGCCTTTTTAACTTAGTCATTCTAGTGGGTGTGTAGTGGTATTCCACTGTAGTTTTTATTTCATTTCCCTGATGGCTAACAATGTTAAGGTCCATTTTTCAACTGGGTTATTTGTCTTTATATTACTGAATTGTACAAGTTTTTTTATTGGTTGTAGATACAAGTCCTTTATCAGACGTATGATTTGCAAACATTTTCTCCCAGTCTGTGGCCTGCTTTTTCCTTTTCTTAACTGTATGTGTGCATTTTTTTTTTAATTGGAATTCAAAATTATTTTGGGCAGAGAATTGAAAACAGTAACTTGTACAAATGTACATAGCAACAAATACCACAAATATGTGGTATATCCGTAAAACAGGATTAGTAGTAATCATAAGGAATGAGGTTACTGATAGATGCTAAAACATGGATAAACCTCAGAAACATGCCAGGTTTAAGAAGCAAGACACAAAGGGACACCTATTTATACATAATAATCAGAACAGGCTAATAGAGACAAGATTAGTGGTTGTCAGGGAAGTGGGGAAGGGAGGGGAGGAGAAAATGGAAATTCCTTTAGTGAGTTGATATAAAAGTTAATTTGTCTAAAAACATTTCAGATATTTCAAACATGCCCCTCAGATACTTTCCTCAAACAGCGATTAACTGCGTCTTTTTAAGAGCAGGAGTTTTAAATTTTAATGGAAGTCCATTTTATAATTTTTTTTCTTTCATATTTTGTGTTTTTTGTGACCTATTTAAGAAATCTCTGCCTAATCTAATGTTAAGAAGATTTCTTCTAGTTTTGTCCTAGACGTTTAATAGTTTTAGCTCTTATAATTAGGTCTATGATCCATTTTGAATAAAATTTTGTGAATGACGTAAGGTAGAAGCCAGGGTTCATACTTTTCCACACAGATATCCAATGGTTTCAATAGCATTTGTTGAAAAGTATCCTTTCCCCATGTCCAGGTTTTATAGTTGTGTTTTATTGGAGGAGTTGTCCAATAGGGTCTTAGCCCCTCAGTTCTGAAAGCAGAAGTCTAATTTACTCATTTTTAAACTCTATTTTACCTTGTAAAATCAGAGGATGTTAAAACTCAAGATTACATATATATATTTCAGTAGAAATAAAACAAATTCTTAAATTGTTAATTTGTTAATTTTAGGATAAAAATATGAGACTGAAAATATGGACATTTTCTATATACTTATGGATGCTATCGTAAAAGGCTTCGTAAGGAAGTCTGTTATACAAACAGCGTATTTTCAATTTAATTCTTATTTTTAAAAAAGTCAGTGAGGGTGATTCCATCTGCCATTCTTCTATATGAATCCATGCCTCAGAGTCAGGTTTAGATGAGAGATGTGACTCTGATATTCCCTCATTTGGTCTCTGTTCCTACATGTTAAGTGTGATCACCTCATTATGGGATTGTGATCCTAATATTTAAAGATACATATTTTTTTGTATATCATAAATCCTAAAAGAAAATCAACTGCTTTATCTAGAGTTCAAATGAACAAGCAGTGATACGATCTCAAAGCAGGGGTAACACTGATTGTGTGTAGTTATTGAGAGATAGAGTATAGGCTTTTTGTTTGCTTGTTTGCCATGAAGGTTTCTGTGAAAGGGAATGACAGTATTGTATCTGATATTTCAGAAGATTGCGTTTGTTAGCAATTGTACTTAAGATATTTTAGTTGGTCTCAAGGAAGGGTAGTGAGGGCCTGAAGGAGGCTTGTAGTCATTCAAATTTTTATTTATTCATTCAGAATAAATATTTACTGAATGTCTTCTAATTCCAGAGACTGAAATTATAATTGTGTTTATACTAGGGATATGAAGACTATATGACAGTCTCTATTCCCAAGAATTTCCAGTCTAAATAGAGGGGAATGTTGCCGTTGTTGTTGTTAGCTGCTGTTGAGCTGGCCCCCGACTCATGGCACCCCCATGTACAAAGGAACAAAATGTTGCCTGGACTTGCGTCATTCCCAGGATTGGTTGTGGACTGGACCATTGTGATCCATAGGTTTTCACTGGCTGACTTCTGGAAGTAGACTGCCAGGCCTTTTTTTCCTAGTCCATCTTAGTCTGGAAGCTCCACTGAAAACTGTTCAGCATTATAGCAACATGCAAGCGTCCACTGGTGGTGGAGACAGGTGGTGGCTGTGCATGAAGTGCACTGGTCAGGAATCAAACCAGGTCTTCCATACAGAAGGCGAAAATTCTACCACTGAACCACCACTGCCCCTTGGAGCGCAATAAACCAAAACAAACATACAAAACAAAAAACCAAACCATCGCTATGGAGTTGATTCCGACTCATAGCGACCCTATAGGGCAGAGTAGAACTGCCCTGTGTGGTTTCCAAGGCTGTAAATCTTTACGGAAGCAGACTGCCAGATCTTTCTCCCCTGGAGCGGCTGGTGGGTTCAAACTGCCGATCTTTCAGGTAGCGCTTAACCACTTGCCACCAGGGCTCTGGAGGGCAATAGACATACATAAATACATACACTCTAGTGTTATGGATATTACCAAAGAAGTCTATACATGGCTCATTGGGAATACAAATGAGGGATCAGGAAAAAGGCTCAAAGAAGCTTACTAGGAAAGAATTGTGAAATAATATATGTAGTGCTTAGAATGGTATCTCTCATATAAGCAGTCAATACATATTAGTAATTATTAATAGTGGTATATAGGTATTGAGGCAGGAAATATGCATTTGGCAAGCAGAATATGACAATAAGCCAGACAATAAGTGTGTCTGCATGAAGAACTCACTATCTAGAAGTGAGAAAAGATGCTTACTCCTCTCCTTTGGCCTCAGATAAGCCTTTTGTTTCAGAAACAATGGTCTCTAAACTTCTCTCTAATCTATTTGCCTAAAAGGAGTGTGAATAAAAAGGTTAATATTCAAACAGAAAACAAGTACACCATTTGCTGCAAAGATTTTAAAAGCAAAGCTTAACTTTGTCATCAGCTCCTCCACATGCTTTTTGGACAGAATCATCTGGAATTACTCAATAGGTCTTTCTTTTAAGAAGCTGATTGGAGCACTCAAAAACATCAATGGTGGGTGGGGAAATGGGAACTGACTGCTAATGGGGCTGGAGTTTCTTTTTTCGGGTGCTGAAAATGTTCTAAAATTGATTATAGTGATGATCGTACAACTTCGTGAATATGCTAAAAGCCATTGAATTGCACAGTTTAAATGAGTGAATTGTACAGTGTGTGTTATATCGCAATAAAGCTGTTATTTAAAACAAATATATATAGTGAATTGATAAAGCTGATCAACTGATTAATAGAATAAAACAAAACAAAACAAAACAAAACATAACGCACATACTAATCTGGCCTCTTCAGAAGACCTAGTTCCAATTCTGGTTCTTAAAAATATTTCCACCTGTTCTTTCAACAAATACTCAAGGCCAATGTATTTCAAAGAAGTTCACTTTTCTTACAAATACTTCTGACGTGCCAGAATCCATTCATTTACCTCGGGGTTGTGGTGCAGATGAAACAAGGCTGAAATTGCCAACCCTGCTCTTCCTAGGCCAATTTGGCCACTGGTGCCAATGCCTTCAATTTGCAAGCCCAGTACCATACAAATCACAAGCCAAGCATGACCAAGACCCCATCGAGAGGTCTGTATCTGATTTGCCTGGATAGGAGGGAGCCTACAGCACTCACATCTCCCCCTTACCAGCCGCTAGGTTTGCCTGGATCATATACCTGGGTTTCTGCCTGGCCTCTTGATTAGCCCTGATTGGGTCACCCAGTAGAACTGAGCTGATGCTCTGAACCCTGTAGGCTGCCTGACTGGACGCTGATTCTTTCTCTGGGGGTTCAGCTCTATCTCCTATGTGCCCAGGCACAAGCTAGGGTCCTCTTACACCGGACAGACCATGTACTGGATTTCAGATGCCGGCATTACCTAGAGATTTTTGCTGTTCTACCCTAGGTCAAATCTTCTTGGTGAACAAGTCCAAGTTTGCTCCTCTTCTCTGGAGAGATAACTTAGAATGCTGGCCACCTCACTTGGGGTTAAGTCCAATAGCCAGCTCAGCTCTTCTAGTTTGAGAAACTAACTAGTTATTTTCTTCCTCATCTTCAGGAGCACGTCTATGGCTGAGTCCATCAGTTACGGCATGAAAGTACCCAGCATGGCACTGCAATGCCCAATAAATGCTAGTTCTTTTCTTTCTTCCAGATCAAAGTCAATTGAGGCTTGCTCTACTTACCTGGTGTACACAGTCTAAGAACTGTAAGAAGACTGGAGCAAAACCACTACCCTGACAGCTGAGGGTCAAGCTGCTCCGCTGACTGAATTTATGACCAAAAGACAGCCACTCTTTTTCGACCAACATCCGGAAGCCTTCAAGTGTCCTATAAAAGGGGTCACTGAGTAACTGAACCAGGGATGTCACCTAGGGTACAAGCAGGATGGATATTTCATTACTTTCAATCCTGAAAAAGTTTGTTGCTAAAATACAAGCTCTTCTTTTTGATGGTGGCTAATTCATAAGTAAAATTACCTGGATAGCAAATTTGTTGACTGATTTTTCCAGGACAGCCAATCAAATTAATTCTGCAAACTTTCCAGTAAAAACTGAAACTCAAATTTCATTTTGGCAGCAGTTTTATTTCAGGGACTCAAGATCTGAGTACTTAACTGGCAAGTTTGCTGACTGTGGCCTTCTCGTACGTTAATCAATGAGTCCAGACCTTCAGTTCAAACCTGTATCTATTTTTTTTTTTTTGCAGCTGTAGATTAGTACCTTAATGTACTTTGTACTCATAATTTTCCTTCACTCTGGAAGCTGTAAAGGAGGAACTTATAGAAAGGCGGAAAAATGACTGCAAAACCCAGAAAGGACGGTCCACATCCCACACTACTGGGTCAAGTGCTCCATCTGCATGCTCACAAAGAGCATCTGTGGATGTGGGAACCTGATGCCCTGAGCCAGAGCTCCAGGCTATGTAGGGGCTGAAGGCCTTGGCCACAGAGCTTCCTGATGAATACCATGCAGCGTTATCAGTCATTATACAAAAGAATCATCTGCTCAATTTAAAAGCAACTAAATTGAAACACAAATATAAATGAAACATCTGAAAATATGTTTTCATATTTACTTGTGCAGTGATATCCCAGCCTTCTTCCAAACAGACCAAAACTGAGGAACCATTCTCAAGTACTTCTGATATAACCACAGCCAGCTGCATTATCTTGTGAAGCTGAGAGATAGAAAAGGAGGACACAATTAGCTCAAGCGCTTTCTAGCACAAAGGACAGACAGACTTTCTATCAACTTTACGAATCAAACAAGTCGGAGTAAGGGCTAATGCATTTGGACAAAAGAAGCACATAATGTTTTGAGTTAGGATAGATACATTAAAATAGCTGACTAATTCAAAAAGAGAGAGGAAGATAAAATTTGAACTCCAAGAATGTAGAAGAAAGGAAATGAAATCACTGTCTCCCACAAGTAAATGCTAAAGAAGAATTAAAAAAAAAAAAACAAAATTAAGATTAAACAATGACACATTGAAAAAGCAGACCCATTTTAAAACGTGTTCAATGATACACAATGAAATCAACTGACCTTACATGAATTCCCAAATACAGAATAAGAGCTGTAATTCCATAGAATAGGCAGAGATTATATGTGACCCTCCCAACATAGTTACTGGACTTAAAAATTGTTCTTTCTCTGATGGTTGTTGTTGTTGTTGTTAGGTGCCATCGAATTGGTTCCGACTCATAGTGACCCTATGTACAACAGAACGAACGCTGCCTGGTCCTGCGCCATCCTCACAATCTTTGTTATGCTTACTGTTCTTTGATGTAGTAAGTTCTATTTCAGATGCTTCTAAGTTTTCTGGAATTTAATAGTGGCAATGGTTGTACAACTTTGTGAAAATACTATAAATCACTGAATTGTACACTTAAAAAGATTTTCTGGTAAGTGAATTATATCTCAAAGGAAAAAGATATTCCTAATTTGTCTGTACTGTGTAATAAATGGGAAGAAAACTTATATTTCTGTTCTGCTTTTTAAGCCAAGCTAATTGACTCAAAGTCCCTAATGAACAATTAGGATGTTGAGCACAGTAGATAGATTTCAAAAGCAAATGAATAACATTCTAGTTTTTAAAAATATTTTAAACATCACATGACATAATTTATAGTATGAGTCCAATTCTGAACTTAAACATATTTTAAACACAGGATCAAGGCACGTGTTTTATGTAGCAATGGGAAGCTCCTTACCCGCTGTGCCTATATCACAGCTATCACCAGGCCAGAAATCTCTTGTGCTCAGCATTTACTCTAAGAGCTAACTTTTAAAATGCCAATATCTCAAGTGGGGCTATATACATATATATATATATATATATGTTTAATTTTATTGTAGTGAGAGATACATAACAAAACATACATCATCTCAACAATTTCTACATGTATAATTCAGTGACATTGATTACATTCTTCAAGTTGAGCAACCACCCTAGGTATCTGTTTCCATATCATTCACCACCGTTAACATAAACTTGATAGCCCCTAACCAAAATCTCCTCCTTTTCCCTTCCCTCCCACTCCTGGTAATCACTAATAATCTTTGGTTTCTATATATTTGTTTATTTCATATACGTGAGATCACACAATATTTGTCCTTTAGCTACTGAGTTATTTTGCTCAGCATGAAGTTTTCAAGGGTCATCTATGTAGTGGCATGCATCAGGACTTCCTTCTCTTCATGGCTGAGTATATTTCATTGTGTGTATATACCACATTTGTGCGGCAGTATTTTAAGCTGTCTTTAGTCACTAACTAAATCCTGGTGAGGATCCACTTTTGCGCAGGGAGCAGGGCATAGCATGTGGCAGAAACGCAGACAGGTTGGGTAGAGGGGCTCATAGCTTGAGGATGGCAGGGGGTACTTATCAACTTCTTCCATGGGTGCCAATACCCTGAATTGCTTTAATAGAAATTTAACATACCCTGATGTATATCTATAGCTAATTGTACATGTGGCTAAGTTTCTTTATAGTTTAAGTTCCTTGATAATAATCATTGCCCTGGGTTGTTATATAATTTCCTGGTTTTCCTGACTGTTAGTCCAATGTACTGTGAGAAACAACCTTTTTTCCTCCTAAAGGCTGAAGAGCAAGTCAGCTTGGGGCAAGGAACAGAGAAGCTGGGAACGCCTGCAGGGGGAGAAGGAACAATGGACATACTATCAGGCTCCTAAAGACAGGGTGTAATGGTTAAGGTTGTGTGTCAACTTGGCTGGGCCATGATTCTCAGTGGACTGGCAGTTATGATGTAGTTTGGCAGTTATATAATGATGAGATCTGATGTAATCATCTCTGTGACGAGATCTGCTATGAGCCGCCAATCAGTTGAAAAGGGAGTTTCCTTGGGGGTGTGGCTGCATTCAATCTACACGGACTTTCTGGCAAAGCTTGCTGGCTTTCACTCTGCTCTGGATCCTGCATTTGGCTCATCATCATCTGGCCTCTGGCTCCTGGGACTTGAGCCAGCAGCCTACTGTCTTACCTGCTGATCTTGGGTTCATCAGGCCCTGCAGCTACATGAGTCAGGAGACGTCTACAGCCTGACGCCTGAAACACGGACTTGCGACTTTCCAGCCTCTACAACCACATGAGTCACTTCCCTGACATAAATCCGTCACTCTCTCTCTATATATATATACATACATATACATACATACACGCTTCACTGGTTTCGCTTCCCTAGGGAACCCTGCCTAAGACACAGGGCTTCTGTGCATTGGAAGAAATGCGGGTGTGTATGTGCTGGCACACATATTTCTCCTTAAATTCTCAATAAAAGTTCAATAAGAAACATCCCAAACTTTACTTAGCTGAAGGAAGGATATGTGATTTTCTCCAAACCTTAGGCAGTCTCCAGGGCATATAATGTGCCTTTGGTGGCTGGTTTGGGTGTGAATCTAAAATCTGGAGACATGGAACAAGCAGGGTCAAATGGAAAATGAGAAAGTAGAAAGGAAAGGTCTTGGAGTTATGCAGAAATCACATTCTGTCCTGGATTCTCACTATGTTGACAATAAATATTTGCTGATTAAATCTGTTGTACATCAAAAAGTTTCCATCTAAAAGCAATGATCTCTTCTTTAGCATCCTACTGAGACCAAGCCATCAATTACATGCAGATAAGAACCCAGGGATCAAGAATTTTACCTTCTCATCTCCTATATCATATGGTTTCCTAGAAATGAAAGGCATTTACAGAGGGCACATGATAAAGGGGACTATGTGGGGTAGCGGAGGAATCAAATATTTTTCTCACGTATCGGTTCTGCCTATCTATCTGAGCCTCTTTCCTTGATTTATAAGATAAGCTGCTCCAAACATTACCTGTGGGAACCACTCAGAGTCTCCCAGGGCTTTCAGGAAGGTCACTTCTGAGTCAGTAGGGATGGTGCTTGGGATACAAGCCCTCATTAGTTTTTTAAAGCTGGCTTTCACTTGTCGGATGTCATGAAATTCAACAGGAACAAACTCACAGTTTAAAGCAAATTCTAACTTGAAGCTCTGTGGATGAAGATGCAGGCAGTTAGGCAGATGAAGTGATATGAATAAAAGAGCAAATGTCCCTAACAGGTCAATGCTTAAAGACCATATAGGTGGTTGAGGCCAAATAGCTGCAGAGGCTACAATGGATAAAGTAAGTCAATATTGTGTGGCTAACACACAGTACTGCTAGAAAGAGCCATTCAGTAAGTTTTGAGGTTTGCCTGGAATGACAGGTCTACTCCTTTCTAGAGGTAGACTATTTAGCTTAAACATGCTATCATTCTGGGAACTTGAATAGACTACTGATAGACTGCAACTTGATGGAGTTTATAACACCAAATGTAAGCCAATTATAAAGCTGTGAACCTGGAAGTTTAAAGAGGAATCAGTGACACATGGACAGCATGGTTAACCCAACAGTGTAAATTAAGTCTCCCCAGGATGCACACTGTAAATGAAATGTAATATACTCTTGGGGTTCCAGGATTCTACAAATTAAAAGTTGGCAGACATATAAATATTTGTTTCTTACTATGAAAATAAAACATATTCATTGTTAAAATGAAAAAGGAGCCCTGGTGGCACAGTGGTCTAAAAATAAAAAAGGTAGAGATAAACATTAAAAAGGAAATAAAAATCACTATCTCACTGCCCCAAAGCTAATAACATTGTGATTACTCTTACAAAGTCAGTAATAAACAGTAAAAAGTAAAAGATTTTATTGATTCTTAGCAATGGGACAATTTTTTTTTTTTAAATAATACCTGGCACACAGTATATGTTCTATAGGTAGCAACTAGTTTTTTTTTTTTTTTGGTCTTTAATAACTTTAATACCTTCTGGCATTTTTTAAAAATTATGCTTTAGATGAAAGTTTACAGAGCAAATTAGTTTCTCATTAAACAATTAATACACATATTGTTGCCAACCCCATGACGTATCAATACTCTTCCCTTTTTGACCTTGGGTTCCCCATTACCAGCCTTCCTGTCCCCTCCTGTCTTCTCATGGGACAGTATTTTTTAACACAAGGTGACACACGTACCAACCTGTATTTTCCTTGAGTACTTTTATCATTTACATCTTTAATCCATACAGAATTCATTCTGTATGAGACACTGGCTGTCATATTCACAATTAAAGAATGCGATACTGAAGGCCCATTGGTATATTTTATATTATTTTTATAATCTGGTTGCTTAAAAGTCCTCTAACTTCTTATGCCAAGGAATGAATTAATTTTTTCAGATTCTTTCCACTTTTTTTCACATTCTGCCCAAATCACTCTATTGGATCATAAGAGTAAAAATTTTGGCAAGGACTTATATATAGGGTCTGTTTAAGATTTTATGTTGGTTATTTTAGAGTTTATTAAAAGGTCTATTAAAGTTTTAAAAGAAAAAGCAAAATTTTCCAAGTTTCTGTTTTTAATAGTATTTCCAATATGTATCAAGAAACAAAAATGTTTATATTCTTTGTCTTAGCAATTCCGCTAATAATCCAAAATATAGAAAAAAATTTAGTGAATTATAACTGAAAAAAAAAGATGCTATATGCTTAATAAAGTGACTGCAATTTTACATACAGAATGTCAAAAATAAACCCTAACATGCAACAATATGGGATATTATACAGTGATTAAAATGATTATGAAGACTGTTATACAACACGGAAACATGATGTTATTGCTTAAAAAAAGAACCTAGCAGCACAGATGAATTCCTTGTTTATTAGGTTTTTTTGTTGTTGTTGTTGTTTTCAAAATAAGAGCTAAGCTGTTAACCAAAAGGTCGGCAATTCCAATCTACCAGCTGCTCCTTGGAAACCCTATAGGGCAGTTCTACTCTGTCCTGTAGGGTCACCGTGAGTCGGAATTGACTCGATGGCAACGAGTTTGGTTGGTTGGTTTACAATAAATAAATAAACAAAAGGTAGTTTTCAGGAAAACTGGATTGCCTTCCATTTTCCAAGTATACATGAGCTAAGGATACCTATCTTATAAACCAAGAGTTATCAACCATAGTGCTGAAACACACTGTAGGTCATAAGAAATTTGCTACTACTAATAAAAGCACTAAAGTATGCAAATTTAACAAGGTACCAAACCAAAAAAACCATTGCCGGCGAGTGAATTTCAATTCATAGCGACCCTACAGGACAGAACAGAACTGTCCCATAGATTTCCAGGGTGTATCTTTACGGAAGCAGACTGATATATTTTTCTACCCTGGAGCAGCTGGTGGGTTCGAATCACCAACCTTTCGGTTAGCAGCCAAGCACTTAACCTCTGTACCACCAGGCCTCCTTAAAAAGGCAAATAAGGCCAAATTCAAGATTATTTTTAGAATAAGTCACTGTCACTTACTTGCATTTTTATATGTTTCCTTTGTTGGGAGAAAAAGTGGACTTGCAACTAGATAGCACTGTGCTAGCAACAGTATGGTGCACATCAGACAGATAGATACCCATACTCTAGAGACACAATTGAGTTAATAAAAAACAAAACTTTGAATGGAATATACAAAAACGTAAACAATTATTGTGCCAGGATGGTAGAATTATATTTTCTAAATATAATAATTTATTAACTAGAGGACGAAAGAAAAGAAGGAACCGAAAAAAAAAAAAAAGGAAAAAGAAAAAAATAAGGGAAGAAAGAAAGGAAGGAAGGAAGAAAAGGAAAGTTCCAAGCGGTTAGTCTTGCTAAGTCATACAGGCATGATCACACAGCTACTCTGAGGACTGAAGTGCAGAGGGTGGCATTCAGGAGACAAACCTTGAGGAGTGACACAAATTGTGAGAAAGTGATGTGCTCAAGTGTAGAAAATCTGTGCTTTACAAAAGATGCTGGTGCCAAAGAGGCTGTGCAGGGAACCCTGGATTGCTGTTGAAAATGTCACAACTATTTTCTGGACATAAAATTATCTGCTGTATCAGAAAACATTTGTGTAGATTTAAAAACCGCACATTGCCCAGTGGTTTCATGCCCTTTAGCCTAAAGGTTGGTGACTAAGTAATCACAGCAGTCCAGGCAGAGGGAGAAGATCTGGCAAAGCCAGTCAGCTACAGAAGAGATGACTCAGTCACTGGCATCTTATGGGCCAGGCATGATCCTGCTGAGGAGGCAGAGGAACCAGAGCACCTTGCTCACAGTTCTTGCTCCTTGATTCAGTCAAAGGTCTGTCTGGATTGTCCAGTGCAGACTGGAGTACTAGAAAAAACCTTGTGGAGATGTCTGAATTACAAACATTTTCATTTCCTAGATAAAACCTGTCAGTAGTAATGCAATTTATTTTGTAATCTGTGAACTGCAAAAATATTAAACCCCAGCAATTATCACTGCTTTTGGAGGTAGAGTCTATCTTTGCAATTTATGGGTCCTCAGCATAGTGAAGCTCTTTAGCACAATAATTTAATAATGAGAATAAAGTTGATTATAATCTAACAGTATGAATTTTATGACTCTCAGGAATTAGGACATGTGTCTTTGTATAAATGGTCTTACTAAGTTTTAAAGAATGTTGTTTAGAATACATACTGTTGGCTTTCTCTTGTCTCTATATGCAATGTCATAGTCTTCCTTTCTATGTCTTTCTTTATCAATACAGTTACAAGAACAAAACCATTATTTTGCTGTGGGCATAGATTCGTGTGGAAGCTGGATCAAGACAGTGGAAAACAGCCTAACTAAGCCTTTTTTTTTTTGTATGCTCACTTCCTAATATTCCAAAGGTTACGCTGATTTTTAACATTAAGAGTAAAACCAACCAGTTGCTGTCGAGTCAATTCTGACTCACAGTGACCTCGTGTGTGTCAGAGAACTGTACTCCATACGGTTTTCAATGGCTGATTATTCGGAAGTAGACTGCCAGGGCTTTCTTCCAAAACACCATGAATAAGTCCTTATTTTCATGGGTAACAGACATCCATGTATGTATATACATACGTATCTATATACAAGTATACAACATACAAAAGGATAGCTTAAAATTTTTGAGATTGATCTTAACTCCAGATTAAGAATCCTTGCTACAAAAAAATGTCTAGGGAAGATGGTTTGTGAGATAAGTTTTATAAGCTGCCTTAGTGCATTTATAAAATTTCTAAGTGAGAAAAAGAAATCTTACCCTTAGTTGTGACTTTTCACCAAATATGTAAAGGGCTGCTTGGCGTTTCAAGAGCTGCTTTTGTAGGTAGGTGCTGTTACTAAAGGAGGTCGGGTGATCCTTGCCTGCCAGCCGGGCGCCAACATCAATGAAGGATGTTGGAGAGCTGATCAAGCGAGTGCTAGAGCGAAGACTTGCCCATACACCTTCACAAAAGCCAAAAGAGTTGGGTGAGATGATCTGATGTGGGAATGCCACTGAATACAGAGACAGATGCATGCTCAGAAGGTACAGTTTTAGAGGTAATAGCCTACGTTAATTAATCCAGTAATGATGGACCACAGCAATCATTTGTCATTTATTTTTACAACATCTAAGTGTTATTTAAGTAACATTTTAAAATCACACAATCTTAGGCTTGCAGAACCTAAGAAGTCACCAAGTCAATCCTATTTTTATATTTTAATATACATTCAGCATTTTAAGCATGTACTGGAATCATAAATAGAAAGAGCCCACTGACTAAAAACAACAACAAAAAATGTAAGCAGGAGGCTATAATGAAGTCTAGGAAGGAGAAAGCTGAGGAAATCAATTTCTTAGAGCTTCATGAAAGAAGCAAGGAACAATTTGTCTACTTTATACAGTCAATTCAACAAGAAATCTAGACTAAGAAATAAACTAAAAATTTACTAAACCTGCTTAAATCTGAGGCTGGTTTTGGAATTAGTATTTGTATATCATACCAAAATGATGTAATTCTAAGTAAAGATTATATTATAGTCTTTTCTCCCCCCATCTCCATGAAAAATAGTGAGAAGTTATAAATTTAGTAATGTGCACGGAATCTTAGGAGGTTTAAAAAGTACAGTCAGAAGCAGATGTCTTCTAAGAGAAGAAAGGTCAAGCTAATTTGTTAGAAGAATCTGTTGCATTAATTAGAAAAATCAAGAATTTCTATATGAAAGTGAGACTATTAAGTATTAAATTGCCAAATACAATGGTAAATACTAAATTGCAAATTTGCGTAACACTGTAGCACCTTCAAAGCAAGAGTTCCTTGTATCTATTGACTGTGGTGTTCATCCCAGCGATGGGGTGACAGGGGTATAACACTATCACTGCTTCCCTAAAATGGGTTTTCTTCTCTAGATTTGGAAATGCTCTTTAATCTTTGCCAAATGTTAAATCAAGCCATGTTTCTAGATGACTATAAGCCCCCATGATAATGTCACATTTGCTTCTCTCCTTATAAACATTTATGGCGTCAGAAGAGTAGTTTCAAGAAAAAGTTTTCTAGGTGATTTCTGCTTAACATGGATGGATCTTTTTACATAACCCATAAGATTTGCTTAGGTATTATGTTAAGTGTTGATTTTTTAAAGCTTTTATAAATGGAATCACAGATGAAATTCAGAATCTGGATGAGAATAAAGGATATAATTTGACAAACAAATGTGGAAAGAATCACTTGTAACATGTACACTTTCATATGAAGATCGTTAAAAAAAGTCATACGTCAGGACAGATAATACAGTACCTTGATTATGGACTCTTCCCTTAGCTGAAGGTTTGGGATTTGACTGAGTAAAACATTTATCTCTGTACCCAAGCACTGGCAGGTAGGATTAAAGACAGAGAAGGAATGAAATGTATACAGCAGCAAACATCAGAGCAGATTGAGTAAGAGAAGAAATAGGTTACTTAATTTTTAAATTAAATGAACATAAGGAAAAATGTAAATATTCAATTAAATAAAAAGCTGCAGTCATACAAAAAAAAAGACAAACTGAGTGCCTGTTAAATGAAATTTCAGCACCTGTTTATAAACACTAAAAGCACAGTGAAATGGACAGCACAGCAGAAGGTGCCATTAAAAAATTATACCAAATGGAATAAGGTTTTGGGAAATTTTAACTGAGTCAGAATCAAATTTTTACAATAAAACTAAGGAATTTAGGGAGTGTAAATGTTAGGAATACACTGGCCCTAGTGTTTAAGGAGGCTGATTGATTGGCAAATACTACGTGTTGTACAACACATTTGTTCTTTTAGCAAGGTTATCATACCAGGAAACAATGAAAGCTCTGGCAACCATTTGGAATAACTAAGGGCATGTTTTTGCAATACAGCATTAAGTATTGCCACATAATCTTCCTTCTCTTTTCAATTTGACAGTTAGTTATGAAAACTAGTAGGTAGTTATGAGCAGCAAAAAGTCATGATCTTGTGACAATACCCAATACCACTAGTACTACAGCTTATTATGATTGAACTCATGACTTCTCCTAAAATTCCTACTTGCACCAAAATGATAGACAGTATTAGAGATAATACTTTTGTAATTTGAGTAATATATATATATATTTTCTTTTTCTCAACATACAGAAAGTGCTTCTTGACTATGGCAAAATTTACCTGGCAATAACAAAAACGGTTAGCAGTAAGTTACAGTCACATCATTTCCTGGGCAAAGGAATTACTCAAGTCAATTAAGGAAAATGATTCTTTATTTATTCAGGATGTCAGACTTTAACAGCAGTATTATTAAATTGTGGACTGCAAAATTGCATTCGACATATTAATTTGATAAAAGAAAAATCATTAAAAGTGGTTTTTCACTCCTGCTTCACTCTTGTGGAGGCAGAAAATAAGGGGCCTTTAAGGCTTTAGGCCATCAGTGGCCAAAGGAAGTCAGAAAGCTACAGACTGTAGGGGCATTGACTGATGGCACACAGGTAATGCTACCACAAGACAGGACAAAGACCTAGACAACATGGCAAAGGCACAAAGCCTCTGTGTGCTAGCCGACTGTTCTTCTTTCTGACTAAGTTCTGTTTTCTTATTGAAATATGGGACACCAAGATGAGTACAGTAAATCTTTAGCAGTTCCTGATTCTAAGATACTATTCCCTGAACAGGTGACACTTTCTCATGCTAGTCTCCTTGCCTAGGTATAATGTTAACCCCAAATGTCCCCCAACGGTGTTGTAGGGAGTTCTATTTGAACTCTTACCACACTGCATTGTGATTATTTGCACATTCTTTTACTCAATCAGATTGTGCTCTCATGGGCAGAGACCTAATCATGTTTATTCTTATATCCATCCTGCTACATAGTTAAGAGCCGGATATATGGCTCAGAAAATTCGTTGATTATTTTCTTTTTGCAAATCAATATACTGTGAGCTATGGTGGCCCTCTACTTTAGCTTCAGCTCAATTATTTGCATTGGAAGGGTGAAAAAAGAGGTACTGAATACAAAACATTAAGTATTTCCCTCAAAGGAAGCTCATTAACGAAAAATCTGCCAAGTATTTACTGCTTAGCAGAAAGTTAGCAATGAGGAAATGCCAGTACTGATATGGGACCAGCAGAGGGCTTTGATAATTACAATCTATCTGGAAGGTATGTTAACAAAAGGAATTACACTCCTGCACTGGTAGTGGTGAGGTATACATAGATTTTCTGAGTGACTAGGTATAAGTATTTGTCCTGAGGATAGTATACCTGCTAAGGGTCTAGAGTAGTGTTTTTCAAACTGCAGGATCTCCCTTAATGGATTGTTAAATCATTTTAGTGGGTCAAACCAATATTTTTAAAAAACTGAAACAGAATTAAAAATATTATGTGCACTGCATGTGGTGTAGATGAATACTGTCTCATAAAACTTTTATTTTAGCATATACACATTTTGCATTGTGACTTAGTACTACCTGAACTGTGATATGAGTATGTGTGTATATGTTTAGGATGTAAAATGTATTTCTTACTGTGAGTCATGATCAAGAGACCTAGAGCATATACAATTTATCTTCCTGCCTCTTAGGCCAGTGAGGAGCAACCCAGCTCAAGGCAACCTAAATACAAACATAAATTTTGCTCCTATTTCAGCAGAGTATTAGTCAACAGTAAAGATGAACACCACCACCACAATAATAATGACAAGTAGTGTTAATGTGAGCTCCTACTATTAACCAGTTACTAATAAGTTAAATGTTTGGGAGTAAAGAGTTAAGAAGTGCGGTAGAAGAATGGGATTTGTGTTTCTGGATCCTAGAGCTTGAGATACCAGAATAATGGGCGCCAGGTTAGGAGAAAACACCTGTCACAAGGAAACACACTAAGTCAACAGTACTTTTCAGCAGAAAATGTTTGGGAGAGTGTCAGAAACAAAAATTATAGTCAAAGATATACATAGAATGGATTATAAACAAATTAAATAGGAGATCTTAACCCAAAGAGGTAAATATAGCCTTCCGGGTATCTTTGAGACTAGCAAAGAATGGACTCATGATTAGAATATAACCATTAGCTATAAGCCTGTGGGAGGCCAATAAAAAAAGAGACAATACTGTTGTTGAAACTGGGTAAAAAATCCATGAGCCTTAGGTATCAACATAAAAGGACAAACACTTCTGTAGCTAAAATTTATGTAACAGGTCATCTGGCCAAATGGAGGAATGAATAACGTTCCCAGTGAGGTTTACAAAGGCAAAACACAACAGCAAAGCGTAGAGTCCAGACATCTGCTGGAAGTTGCATTCTCCTAAAAGTAGAATGGAAAATTACTGACTTAACTTGCTGACAACATAAACTTTCGGATGGTAAATAAAGCAATAAGGGGAACTGCAACCTTGAACCAAATTCTCACAAGAGAAAAGAATTCTTGGCACTAGAAATACCAGGAACCTTAGGAGAAAGTCACTGCTCCAACTTTTAGTTCAAAATCACTAAGAAAGAAACGAGAAGAAAGAAATTTGTATCTTAAATTTTAAAACAATGGTATTTTAAAAATTCACAAAAAGTTATATATGACCCTATGGCTTGACACATTATTAGGAGGATGACTCAAGAAGATCAAGAAAGCTCTTAAGAAATCTTGCAATGGCAGAATGTTCTGATGAGGAAGAAAATAAACAAGTATCCAAAGAACCAATGTAACTGCCAGGAGATGTCAGGTAGTCCTGGCTTTTAAGTGAATTTTATAAAATAGAGCATTTTATGTTAATTCTAAACCAAATTCTAGACCGGATTACTAATGGCCTATTTATTAGTACTCAGAAAAAAAACACTAGTTCCTGTAATAAATCATGCCAAACTAACCATATAATCTTTTGTGATACAGTTAATAGGCTGAAAAATTGGCAAATATTGAATTAAAAAGATTGGCAGAGATTTAAAAATGCAAGCCAGGTGAGAGTTTTTAGAGAAGGGCTCATAGCCAGTATAGATTAACAGATGGATTGCTTTCTTCAGGGAGGCTTCTACGTTATGTATGCCGTAGGCCTTTGTCCTTAGCTCTGGTTTGTTCAACATTTTCTTAAACAACAAATCACAGGAGACCGTGATCAAATCCACAATAACAAGAGGCTTCGGAAAACAGCTAATACACTGCTAAAAAATCCAAAGGTCTAAAATAATAGTGGATGTCCAAGAATATGAAATTTTATAGGTATAGTACACTTAGGTCCAAAAGCCACCTTTCAAAGCCAGGATATTGTTAAGAATAACAGTAAAACAAACATAGGGATTTCAAATGATATTAATCTCCATACGGGTCAACCTAGCGTTGGGGCTGTCCCCATAACTAATGTGATCTTAGGCTGCATGAATACCTAGAGTGCTGGGCTTAATTCTGTGAAGAGTCCACAGAATGACAAGGACAGTGAGTGAACTACAATCATTTGAATCAGGGATGTTTAGAGTTAACTACAGAAGAGAGAAAACACAGGAACAATTTTCAAATAAGAAAAGCTATAGTGTGGGAGATCAGACTTATTTTGTAACTTAAGAAGGCAGAGCTAGAGCCAATGTGTAAAAGTTACGTGGCGGTAGATTTTAAGATCAATATGAGAAGGAATTTTCTAACAAACAGAAAAACAAAACTGGTTGCTGACTAGTTGATTCCAACTTATGGTGACTCCTTGTGTGTCAGAATAGAACTGCTCCATAGGGTTTTCAAGGATGTGATCTTTCGGAAACAGAATGCCAGGCCTGTCTTCTGAGTTGCCTCTGGGTGGGTTCAAACTACTAACCTTTCAGTTAGTAGTTGAGCACTTAACCAGCTGTACCACCCAGGGACTCCTTCTAACAAATAGAGCTACTTAAAAATGCAAGGGGCTACTTGTGAGAAGGAACGAGTTTCCCATTACTAATGATGTTCAAGCAGAACCAAGAACATTCATTTGGTATGTTTTCAAGGGGATTTGGCATTGTATGGGAGTAAGAGGAAGAGTCTAGGATTCTATGACTTCATTGTGAAGCAGGAGGATGTTACAATCAAGATACCTAATCTGGAATTTCCTCTGAGAAGTAAAAGAATCTCACATAAACTTCCAGAGACCAAAGTGGACCAGCCTTCGGAGATTAAAAGAGCTAATACTCAGCCTTTCTCTTTTTTTCCTCATGCCAGTAGCCACAGCTACTGGTTACCAGCATTTTGGTTACCAGTTTGCTGCTTGTTTTATTTCTTCGTTTTTTTGTGACTTGTAGAAATGAAAAAAGAGAAACCTGGATATCATTCCATCTTATCCTCTAAACTAGCATTTCAGAAGTCAGGAGTGAAATAACAGGCATAGGAGGCACAGCCCTCAGGTCTGCTATCACTTCTCCTGAGCTGTCTATACTTCTGTGATCAGTCTTTCTACTCTGCAAATGGCATCCTCCCAGGGTGGACTCGTCATTCAGATGTGCTCCCTTCACCTCCTGAAACTTTACAAACTCATTAATAGGTAAGATATTAGCAATTATTACGTCTCTTGCCCTATGAAGTTAAACTCATCTGTCACTATGCTAGTAACAAATTTGATCATTCATTTCGAAAAGGGTAATTAAGAACAATTGGAAACATAATTAGCTGATTTAAAGTATCCACTATCTGGAGCAATTAATGTTTTCTGTTTTTAAGCTTATTATCAGCGCTCAGTCATAAAATCAATCTTACTAACCTCCTCGAGCAAAGCTATTGGATGGGTTTACATCCAAATGTCCTGGCACTACCTGCTTAAGCACAGTGGACATTCTTGAAGTCCTCCTTTCAGTCCCTAAAGTCAGCCAAAAAGAAGAACAAAAACCATGTCGTTCGGGTTAACATTACTCAAATGACAAAAAGTTATCTTCATGTGTAGCATGTCTAATTGCTGCCAAACACTGTATTTTTTAAGTACCCAAAGCTTTATTAGAGATAACAAGGCAATGTTATTACTTCATCTGAGATAACACACATTTGCAAGATTATAGAGAGTTAGGTTTGGCAAAAGCAATCAGAGAATTTAATGATAAATGAAGCAAGGCATGCATGGTGTTACTTTACAAGAAAAGCCACTTTCTGCTTATGTTGAACTAATTCAAATAGCTGATTAAGCCAAGGAGACTAACTTTTCAAGTCACATGCTCCTGCGTCTAACACATTAGGGTTACCTCTACATGAACCCTTTGGGGTTCCATCACATGATAACTGAAACAGAATATTAGTACAAGTCTTAATGACTTCATCCAAGTCTAGTGAAAACAAACTGTGCTGTGAATCATAAAAGGCTGCAGAAATTTGGGAAATTTCAAACTTAAACTTGATGATTTTAGTGGATATACATTTAATAAACATGTTTAACTTACACATCCAACTTCTTAATAATATATTAAAATTTATGTAAAACAGATCTAGGGAGAAAAACCCTGGTGATTTTATTTATGTTCCCCACCTCTTCTTCTTCTATTACTATTCTAAAAAGGAAATAATTGAGTCTTTAAATTTGGTTACTATTCACTGGATATTAATAGCGGCACCCTGATTTCTCAGTAAAAGGAGTTAAAGTTATACAACCCTGTAGGTAAAACTTTAAGGGGTCATGAAGTAACAGAGCAAATAATTAAAGAGACTAACTTTAGGAACAGATCCGACCCTTTCACAGTTGTCAGGAAGAAAAGTATTATCAAATCTTACCTGGAGACATAGCAAGTGCTGGCCTGACAGTAAGGGTGTTGTTGCCACTGAGTTTCTGATGGACAGAAACTGCACTCAGTAAGGCTTGCAAGTACTTTTCTTGTTCTATGCTACTGAAAGATTCTAAAGAGGAGGTAGGAGCTATAAAAGGAAAAGATATTGAATAAAACAAACTGTCTATGTCAACAAAACATGCATATATACATATATATAGTTTTTTTTTCTTTATTCTTTGTCTATACATTCTTTAGGTTACCACACCTAAATGTAGAAACCAGTTCTGCTTAAAGCTCCAATCTATTAAGTGGTTAATCCTCCTATGATGCTAGTTTCACCACACCTACTTCTTGACTGTCTCAACCTCTTCCCAGAAAGAGCCCAGGGTCTGGAAAACCAGCACAGGGCCGTCCTTCCAGGCACAGGTGTATAGTTTCTCATTATCCAAGCAACTAAAAATGAAGACTCATGAAAGAAAATGACCCTTTATCTTCTTCCTCAACCATCCTGCGCATGCTACTGTTTGAGAGCAGAGAATGGAAGGGGTTCCCTTGGCATCTCAGAACGGGCAGAGGTGAGATTTTCCAATATTAGTAGCTTTATTCCAATTCTGCTGCACAGGCCTAACAGGGGACATACACTTGGAGGACCTTGTTAAGGGGAGGGTGGAGGATAATGGAGAGAAGATAGAAGCAACTACTGCTAGATTCTCCGGTGCTTCTAAAAAAGGGACAATAAATATACACAGACGGAAACAACTGTGGAGCAATTTTAGGCTTGGAGGGCATATGAGTCTGGTTTGTACAGAGCAAAAGGAAATCACTGAAATTGGCCCATGCAATCGGGGATAGACTTACTAAGACAATAGATAATAACAAATTTTCTTGTAACCTGAACAAGAAATAAATAATTAACATTATTATATTTTATCAATTCTAAGATGCCATCAGTGATAAGATCATGGTTATTTTATGTACTAAGAGAAACACTCTGCCAATAAAACACACTTCTTTCTTATCACATCAATTGTAAGATGCATCTTAGTTTCAAAGATAGTAAAATGTGAACAAATGTGTGAGCTGAAATATATAAAATATGGTAAATTTATATGAAAGAAATCAGAAACCAGTGAAATAAAAGTTTGAAACTTTTCTAACCAAAAGCTCAGTGATATGCTCATCAATGCTCCTGAAATAATTTGTTCCATTATGTAACTTACATATACTTGCACTCTATTATTCCCACCATGTGGCTTGGGAGGATTCCTCTCAGGAGCAAACAGTTAAAAGCCAATTGCCTTTAATTACATCTGGGTTGAGACTCCAAGCCCAGGGGGATAACAGTTTCCTGGGTGCTGCCCTCAATTAGCTGACTGATCAAAGACACATGGAGGGAAATGGATGAGCATAAAGAGATATCAAAGAGCACATGGTTCTACCTGCTGAAACCATAGAAGCTGATGTATCTCATTTCCAAAAGGGAAAGAATGCAGACATCCCTAAATTGGATCTGATATCTTAGTGGTCAATTGTTTAATTTTATTGAGCTTCTATTATGAGCTAGTAGTTATGGGAAAGATCAGCAAAACATAGCTCCTTACTTCAAGACCTCAGAATATGGCACTACTAAAAATATCTTCAGAAAAAAGGATAGCAGCATTTCTCTCTCCTTTTTTAAATCAGACACACCTTAACTCCCTAAAAACTTCTTTGCTTGAGAGCTCCTAAAACAGCACTTTGGCTACCAGTTTGCTGCCTTGTTTTGTTTGTTTTTTTGTGACTTGTAGAAATGAGACAGGGTATCTCATATCACATGTGAGCAGAATCCCTATTTGCCTCTAAGCTGTTAAAAATATTTGGATGCTTCCCAGAAGAAAGGCAAGAAGACTGGTATATAATCTAGTTTCCATCTATGAAGACAGTCTAAAACCAAAGACTTTATTATGCTAATTTTGATTAAAATCCAAACATAGATCCAATATATTAAATAAGATGTGAAATTCAAGATGGAGCTCTACATTGTCAAGTATGGTTCTTGTTTAAGCTGTACATGTTCTATACAGCACAGGGGAAAAGTCTACATGTGAGAGAAGGCCTAATGAAAGGGCATAACTGGTATTCCCAGATTTTATTTCCTTTATTCTTAGGAATACTCTGAACTGCAAGGATTTTAATTGTGCTGTAGAGAGATGCTTACCTGCCTGAGGGGAGTTCTGAGATTTGAAAAGACCAACTACTCCCTTCCCATGGAATCCTCCAGATCGGAGGAGCAGGGTGCTGCTTCTTGAGTTCTTCCAGCATACAACAGGCAGGCGATTGTGTCGATAGCAGCGGGCTACTCTTGGTAAACTACTGTCCTGTACGGCTTGAGGTACGACTAGAAGGCCAGGATAGCTTCAGTGACATGATAAAAAGAGAAAGGGAAGGATTTAGGAATGGGGTTGGTGGTTGGGAGGAAGAAGGGGAGAAAAGGGATAGGAGAGAGAAAATATAAGAATATGAATATCATAATATTATAGTAATTTTCTAAGACTCAGAAACATTTTGGTTGAGGGGTAAGACACGTATGTCAAACATAGAACTTAGTTTCAAGTCCTTTTGAATTCTTCAGGGGTTGAGAAGAAAAGGACTAGATGGTGAAAATAACTAACTCATCCACTCATCTATAGTCCTTTCTTGAAATGAGCCCCTTTCAGTAATACTAAAGACTTTCGCTGAATAACCTAAGCTTAGAAAAGAAAAATGTTATGTAAAATTATTAAAAAGATCTCTGTTGAACTGAATAATTTCCCTTGCCTTATACTTTTCCTTGACTTGAAATAAAGATTGTAAGATTAATGGATTAACATCAACTTTATGAGACTGACAAGCCGTCAACAACATGTTAGATCACTGAAATGCCAACAGAGAATAGAGGATGCTAACATTAGACTGCCTGAGATGGTGAAAGGATCAAAAGTCAAAACCAAATGATTTTTGGTATGAGAACAGTATGTTCAAGTTTCAAAATGAGTTTAAATATTTTATTAACACTACATGTTGATATTTACTTAAAAAACAGATTAGCCATAAAGTTACAGGCTATGATGCTGGGAAAATTAAAAATAGACTAGAAAACCTTGTTTCATAGATTAGTAAATGCAAGAAGATAGGCAGGTTTCAGAGTCAGTCCTTTAGTTCGTTCTGAAATATTATACTAAACAAATTTTATACTTATAATGTCCCAATCTTGAATCCCTTATCTTGATATAATCCAGTGCTGACAGGAGGGAGAGGAAATCGTATAACCTTCAACTACTTTAGTGAATGCCAAATTAACTTTCCATACTTAACCAATGATACCTTGTAAATGTTCTGAAAGCCTAGTAGTTTGGTGCTCTAGGAAGTCTAGGCTATATTTTTCTAGTAACACAAACTCTAATACAACAAACTGATGAAAAGACCAAGCTGTAGACATAATCATTCATGAAGAATGGGAAAGTGGCTCCATTATTAGGGCCCTCTATTGCTATCACCGGCCGCTCCATGGGACAAAGACGTGGCAGTCTGCTTCCATAAACATTACAGCCTAGGAAACTCCATGGGTGGGGCAGTTCTACTCTGTGCTATAGGGTCGCTATGAGTCGGAATTGACTTGAAGGCAGTGGGTTGAGTTGGTTGAGTTGACAGCTAATACCACTTTAACATAGCATCTTGTTTTTTTTCCCCCATTTGCTTCTAGGTGCAATGATTATGTGTATTAGATAAGGGAGTAATGCTTAATGGCTTTAGGAGTTGCTTCAAAAACTCGGATGGAACCAGCAGTTGCCCTTTATCGCTCCTCCAGTGGGTTGCTCCTTCCTTCCACTGAATATGAGCACTATACACCATGCTCTCCTGTACATAGGCTCTGGGGCTCTCCTGCTCCCAGACACTGGCTTGAATGAGAGCTGGATAGCCCCTGGTGCTGGGGCACATAGTGTTGAACTTGAAGATCAGCACAGGCTACGTTCAGCACCAGTCTCATCTAGCAATGAAAGATACATTCATTCACTCTGCTACCCATCCTATCCCACCACCTAGAGCCTTCAGCCCTGGGCTCCAGAGTAAGCCTCAAGAGGTAGATAAATAGAATGGGCTTCAGGAGCTGCTGTGGAACTTTTTAATCAAAGAATAACACAAATACAAACAAATGCTCAAAACAAATGAATTATTACAAAAAGAAATTGTCACTACCACCTAGGCCAAAAAATGGATCATTACCAGCACCGGAGAGGATCCCTTGTGTCTCCTCCAATCACGATTCCTCCCTCCTCCTTAAAGGTTACCACTGTCCTGACCACTAACAATATGATTCAGTTTTGCTTGCTTTTGAATTGTAGATAAAAGGAATCAACAGAATGTATTCTTTTGTGTCTGGCTTCTTTTGCTCAACATTATATTTGTCAGATCCATCCATGCTATTGCATATAGCTGTAATTTGTTAATTTTCATTTCTGTATAGTATTCCACCATGTAATTATATTACAGTTTATCTAATCTTCTGTTGATGGACTTTGAGTAGTTTTAGTTTTTTGATTATTAAGAATAATTTTGTTCCATTGGTCTGTTTGCCATCCCTGTGCCAATCCATATTGCCTTAATTACTGTAGCTTTATAAAAAGTCTTGATATCTGGTAATATTATTCTACAAGACTGTCTTGACTACTCCTGACTTTTTTTTTTTTTAAACAATTTATTCAGTTCTTCTTTTACTTAAAGTATTAAAGTTTTCCCTATACAGACCTTGTGAATTTCTTTTTTTAAATTTTTTTATTGTACTTTAGATGAAGGTTTACAGAATAAATAGTTTCTCATTAAACAGTCAGTACACATATTGTTTCATGACATTGGTTAACAACCCCACAACATGTCAACACTCTCCCTTCTTGACCTCAGAGGACCTTTTTTTTGGTGAAAATATACATAGCCAAAGTTACACCATTTCAAAAGTTTCTACATGTACAGTTCAGTGACATCGATTACATTCTTCCAGTTGTGCTGCTATTCTCACTATCCTTTTCCAAATTATTCCATCACCATTACCTTCAACTCACTACCCCCTAGGCTCCCCATCAAACCTTTTGAGTTGCTGTTGTCAATTTGATCTTACATAGATAATTCTTTTTTTTTTTTTTTGTACCTTAGATGGTTTACAGAACAAATAGTTTCTCATTATACAGTTACTACACATATTGTTTTATGACAATGGTTAACAACCCCACTACATGTCAACACTGTCCCTTCTCAACCTTGGGTTTTCTATCACCAGCTTTCCTGTCCCCTCCCGCCTTCTAGTCCTTGTCCCTGGACTGCTGTGCCTCACTAGGCCCGTTTTGTTCTTTGAGGCTGTCCAATCCCCAGATGAACAGTGAACTTTGGGAGTGACTTCACCACTGAGCTAAAAGGGTGTCCGGGGGCCATACTCTCAGGATTTCTCCAGTCTGTCAGGCCAGTAAATCTGGTCTTTTTTTTTGGTGAGTTAAAATTTTGTTCTATATCCTTTTCCAGCTCTGTCCAGGTAGGACCCTCTATTGCGATCCCAGTCAGAGCAGTCAGTGGTGGTACCCGGGCACCATCGAGCTGTACTGGACTCAGTCTGGTGGAGGCCGTGGTAGCTGTGGTCCATTAGTCCTTTGGACTAATATTCCCCTTGTATCTTGTTCTC